GCGGTGGCACTCCCGCTGAGGGTTCGGATCCCACATACAGACCAGTTCCCGCTCACTGCTGAATGAGGTGCAGGCGCAACACCGAGGGTTGTGATCCCGTTGCTGGTCCCGGTCCGGTCCGGGCGCAACACTGAGGGTTGCGATCCGTTGCCGGACACGAAAAAAGACAAAAAAAAAAAATGAAGACCACCCAAAATGGTAAATTTCATAGGTAAATATGTTTTTCCTTATTATATAAATCTCTCTAAAAGATTGACTGAACAAAAACAACAATGTAGCATGAGTTTATAACATATGTAAAAAATAAACCACATGACAACAGCAGCAAAAATATTAGAAGGAAAAAAATGGAAGCCTACGATTGTAAGGTTCCCATAGTATATACAAAATGATAGTGATAAGTTAAACCCATACGCTATAAATCCTAAAGCAACTCCTAAAAAATAACACAGAAAAAAAAAGAATTGGCTAATAGGCCAACAAAGGAGATAAAATAGAATCATAAAAATATTTAACTAACCCAAAAGAAGGAAGAAACAGAAGAAAAGGGGAACAAATTACAGACAGAACAAACAGAAAATACGACGGACTTAAATCTACCCATTTGAACTATCATATTACATTGCAATGGACTAAATATCCCAATTTAAAGGCAGAAATTGTGAATGGATTAAAAATCAATGTGTATTCTGTATCTATATAAAACAAAGTATGTGCTGCTTATATGGAATAACACATGAATATAAACATATAATTAAAAGTAAGGAAGAATAAAAATTGCACCATGTAATCAAAAGAAAGCTAGCGTGGTTATATTAATATTAGATAAAGTAGATCTCAGAGAAAATAATATTACCCAGGATAAAGAAGGCAATTTCATAATGATCAAGTGGTCAATTTATGAGGAAGATGCTGGCCAGTTAGCTCACTTGTTTAGAGCATGGTTCTGATACCACCAAGGTCAAGGGTTTAGATTATCTTACTGGCCAGTGGCCAAAAAAAAAAAAAAAAAAAAAAAAAAAAT